ATTTTTTACTATTGCAATATTTTTCGATGTTAGATTCCCTAAGCTACCTGATGAAGAAATATTTTTTAATTCTTTTTCATTGTATACTATATTCACTTTGACATTTCTTAACATATTACTACTATCAACGTTTTTCCGATCTCCTGTTGTATTTGATATTACAAAACAATTATTTCTACTTATAGAATTTTTGTCATGTGACGATAGCAGAAAACTCGAGCTAGATTCTGAAAAAGAAAAAAAAAGTTTGAATTTAAAACAATGGTTCTTACATCAAATGAAAAAAAGTTGTTAACTACCTTGGTTAGTTCCAGTAACTCTGTGATTTCTATCAGAGTTAATAATTCTTTCATTGTGATTACTATTTGAAAAATGTATTGAGTCAACATTGGAATCTGATACGTACGCTGAGTCCTTCATTTTCCATTCGGTTTTATCGTCCTTTATTGACTGCACTGACATCAAATCTTAACCATCATTTAATGAATAGATGTTACTATTCTGTAATTATAAAAAAAAGTGACCAAAATTAAAAAAATCCTTATAAAATAAATATTAGAATTTAATCTGATGAGTTCACTTCAAATAGATTAGGTTATAAAATAAAATATCATCAAATTTGACGAACAAAAAAAAAACTTACACACGCTTCAAGATCTATAAAAATTTGTTACGTTAATAATCTTATTTTTTTTTTTATTTTTATGCTTTTAGCAAAGTTTTTGTTTGTTAAATGTTCAATATTTATAATAATATTAATTTTAATAGGATATCAGCGACACTTGCTAGATGGCGTACTATACAATATTGTTACAATACTTGTCGCCGACTGTACGTATTTTTTTTTTTTTTTCATTGAATTTTTATTAAAATTCACTACGATACAACCGTTGTGATGCACCCAGTGCATCCAACAGGTGACGCTACCTGTTATTAGAGCGCTATCTATTATGAGAGCGCGAATTCAAACGAAATATTCAAACTAGTAAATATTAAATGATTAAAATTAGTTAATATTCCAGTCCTTTATTTAATGCTTTTACTCTTACCAGTTGTACAATAAACATCTTTTGGTTAACTCTGTTTTATTTACAAAATAAAATAAAATAGAATAAAAAAAAACATATTTCGGTACAAAGGTACATTGTAACCGAATTTTCAAAACCCATAAAAAGTACTTGAGTAATTCAAGGACTTTCTCGCCTGATGAAACTTAAAACCCTATGAGGAGAAGTCGTAAAAGACACGTGTGAAATTCAATAGATCCTTGTTCTAAAGTAACAAAGAATAATAAAAAAACATATGTAACTAAACAAAAGTAATATTGTTAAATAACATTTACTGTTAAAATCTAACTTTATATAATATTGTAGTTAAGCAAAATTGAGTTAAAATAATTAATAATTAGTATCTTATATTTAATTTATAACTAATAATTATTAGTTAACTAATTTACTATTAATTTATTATTAAATCATTATCTAATTATTATTTAATTTATAATTAAATAATAATATCTATTCTTTTATACAGGATAATAATTAAAATGACTTATAATTTTATTAGAAAACTCGATTGTAAAATGATAGAAATAATATTTAATTCGAATTATTAATTATTCAAACTCAAACGTTAGTCCAACATATTATAAATAATATAATATTTATACTTTCATGTTATAATTTACTATAATTTTATTGTAATTTAATAGATTTTAAAAAGGGTTTGTTAACTTAATAAGAATAGTTGGATAAACATAATGACTGTATTGCTAAAAGTATATATAAGTGAAGTCCAACTTTCAGGTCGATAGGCTGAAGTAAATATATATAGATATAGAGAAAATACATGTTAGTGTATAAGGATCATTTATATGTAGTAGAAAATGTATGTATTTATATATTCCTTAGAGTGGATGTATGTGTGGAAGTTATGGTGGGAGAAGAACGGAGTTTGAAGATCTTCGGAAAAACTATGTAACGACACTTCTCATCGAGAGATTAGATTGCTAAGATCACGTCATTGTAAACCTCAATTTTATATTTTGAAGCTTTTAATATTTTGTCAACTCGAATAATAAATTGAAACCAACTAAATAATTTTGATCAAAATTAAATTACGTCTAAATAGAATTCTTTTATTTAAAATTATTCCTTTCCCGCACTGAAACCGAGTATTTTAATACTCCCGGGCGAAAGAACTACAGTAAGTAAAGTTTTAAATAAATAAAAATAACATCCACTAGATGGAAGCATAACAGTATCCACTCTTATAATTTAGATGAAAAATATGAAAATATATCTGGGAATTCCATACCAACATTCACACGTGCGCTTGCGTGCGCAACGTATACTAGTGTATATATATTTATTTTTTTATATATATATATCGAATGTAACGCGGCTTGTCACGACGATAGCGTCGTCAATTTACAACGGATCTCTACCAAACTCCATTTATTTTTCTACAGATAAATACCAAAGTCAAGTTCGAAAATGAGCTTAATCGGTCAAGTAATTTAGAAATATATTTTTGTCGATTGCATAGAAGTTAGAAACCCTAGTTTTGTATACAATCCTCGTTATATTTTTTTTCTATTCATGATGAAATCTACTTCCATTTCGGCTGCCGAATGGTCTTTTTGTTAATATATAGGCTTGTGGCTTGTGAATATTTATTCTTAGTTTTTATTCATACTTATTTCTATTATCAAGTAGCTACATTAATGTTCAATGAAATGAGTACATTTTTTTAACTTCTTGCTAAGAAAATTGGAAATTTTTGAAAAAAGGGAAGTTATTGATTTCGGTCCGATTTTCGAAAGTCGAGTTTTCATCGGATCTCCGAGTTTTAAGGTCCTAGGAAGCCATTCTGACTATTCCCGCCGAGATGTCCGGCCGTGTGTGTGTGTGTTTCAAACTTAGCGGGAAGTTCTAGGGTTGGCCTACGCGGTCAACCGATTTCCACATTTTTTTTTATATAATTATGAAAATTTTACGAAAGTTGAAGTTTGCAACACACATAAATAGGTATGCATTTACTCTAAATTAACTATTTTTTATGAGTCTTAAATATTAAAAGTTTGTTAAAAATAAAAATTGTAAAAATTATACTAAAAGACATATGTTTAAATATCGATAAATGAGAGTAACAAAATTTCTTTCATCTCCTCTTTGTGAATATTTTTATTATTATACTCTTGTTAGTCAACGAAATTTAATACCAACAAAAATATAATACCAAAACAGTAAAAATAAACCTTCCCTGTCAATTATTTAGTCTGCACCTTCGAAAACTCGATAATTTAAAAAGTCAATTAATTGAGAGTTTTTTTGTTTTTTTTGATTTGCTTCGTGGATGGAAAGAGATTTCATTTTCTGAAAATTCCTACAGGTTGGTCTAATTTAATTAAGTGAAGTATCAGGAAGTTACTTCTTTTTCAAATTGAATGAGTATTTAGACAATATGTTTTATTCATTAGAAGTAATCACTCATAAAATATAAATTATTAATGCAAACTTTTGAATATACATAAAAATGAAATAATTATAAGAAACACTACTTTATGGCCAGAATAAATTGATTTTGCGCTGTTGCAAAAATCGGTGTCACAGTAGGAAATAATCGTTTTCACGACATAGGCTTCTCCAGTTGAATTCATATACTGTGCGGCAAAGTCATTGTTGTACATAATTCTTCTATTACAATCGCGTATAATCACTCGAACTTTGCCGTTCGCTAAAAAAATAAAAAAGACTTAAAAACTCTAAATTAAAAATTGATTTTACAAAAAACTTACAGAAAAAAGACTTCATTGTTCGACAAACTGGATAAGAATTATTATAGTTACATTCTTGTTCTATAACGTTGCTTTTTATAAATTCATCCTCACATTTCGGCTTGACTCTAGAATAATATTTTTTAGTCCTGATGAATTAATTCAAAGTAGAATTATTTATTTAACGTGAATATGCACGCATTATATACTAACTAATTTAAACAAAAATGAATTGACTGCAAAACAAAACTAGAATTAGTAAACAGCAAGTAATCAATAATGTTTAAAATACAATATTTAGTTATGAATGAGATGATTGTGAGCAATCGCGACACTTTCTATCAATAAATCACAGAAATTATGACAGTAGAACACAACTACAACTACAACTGTAGAATATTAACTCAGCAGATGGAAATTTAGTGAATTGAATGACCATATTTTCAGTATTAAATAATTTGTATTAAACACGGGATAAAACTTTGTGAACAAAAAATAATTATGCTGCCACATTACAGTTAAGGACAAACACGTGTTACCAAAAATATGAATATTTAAATTGTTACTTACGTAGGAGTACAATACCAACATTTTAATGATTCTCCTATAATAAAATAAATTTCTTTAATATTTTTAGACCACTGAGAGAAAAAGTTTCCTCTAAAAAATATGAGCATTCTTTTGACAAGAAATTATTTTGTTTGACATTTTAAACAATTTTATTTCTTAGCTGAAAAAATAAACATTTTTCTTACAGTAACTTTCTCGTTGAAAAAAAGTTTTCTAGATTTGAAAAAAAAAAACTTTTTTCAACAATAAAGTTACTGTAAGAACAACTTCGATTTCTACAGCTAAGAAATTAAATTGTTGAAAATATCCAACAAAATAATTTCTTGTCAGAAAAATGTTTATTTTTTTTAAAAGAAATTTTTTATCTCAATGTATAAAAGAATCTTCATAAAATAAATTTTAGTTAATGTTATGAATTCTTACCTGAGTTGACGAATATGAATAAAATTAATAAAATTAACAAATTTATCTTGATCATCATTTATACTATTTAAAAAATCGAAGAGTTATCAGCTACTTGTCAGAAGCAATCTATAATATCGAATAAAATAAAACCAATAAAACCATTGCAGTGTCCATAAATATGTACTTTTATTATCACATTGTGATCAATATCACGCTGATAAAAAAAAACGAATAATAAAAATCCCTATTTTAAAACATATGTCCGTTATTAGGGATTAAAAGTAAAATATATACGGGAAATAAAATAACTAATTTTATTATAAAATGCATTATTTATAAGCAATAAAATAACATTTTCTAAAAAATTAAAAAAAAAATTAAAAATTCGGGTTATTAAGTTATTAGAAATTATTATAAACAATTATATTAATTCATAGAAAGTAATAAGCTATTAACAGTTGCATGAAATTATCTTATAAATTTATTTATTTCACTTGGTTATCTTACAGAGATTTAATCGTATCCAATGCTACAATAAAAAATGATACTTAACACATTTAATGAAATCAAAAAAAAAGTCGTTATCAAAAGATATTGTCGTAGAACATCAAAATCAAATTTATCATTGTTTTAACAATAATTATTTACACTTTCATGTGCAGTTTACTTGGAGTAATACAAATTAAATGATAAAATTTCCATTATTTGTTACATAAGATCTTACTTCAATATGCATTTTTAATAGCACAAATAAACGTAACTATTGTTATAAAGATGATAGTTGAGGTTGAATATAGTGATTCAGAATTGTTGCATAAGTCTGTGTCATTACAATAATAAATACTCTGGCTTATCAGAAATGCGTGCGAATTATTTGCTCGCAGAGGTACGCTGTAAGTCTCAAAATACCTCAAACAACTACGACTTAGAGTTCCGGTAGTACCATTTGCTGAAGTATAAAAATTCGTTATTACGTACTGATTCAATTTTTTTTAATTTTTGAATTGTTTTTGTACTTACATAATACATAGTCTATCTTTGCACACATAACACTTCGAGCAAATGGAATCTGTTCAGAACAATTTGTTTTAGTTACAGCTTTGGCTGTTTTAACATCGTCACAAAGTTCACATTCGTAACATATTAACGTTTCTCTTAAAATCATGACATTAATAAAAATAACAATTATAATAATAATTCTTTGAGCAACTTACATTTTAATAAATTTTAAAATGGTAGTTATATAGATTTCTGCATTATTTCAAGTATTTAATAAAGTATTTTTTTATTTTAATTAATTAATTTTAAGAGTACAGTGGAGTTTCTACGACTGATTATAAGATAAACACAGTATAATTAGAAGTTTGATTTTAATGTAACAGAGAATACGCTGTTCAAATCAGTGTAATTTGTTAATTACAATAAAGGAACGGATGGATTGAGCTTGTTATATTTCTTTTTTTTTTTTTTTCTATTATAGTAGATTCCTTTAATAGAGATATTGATTTTTTTCTTCATAAGTCCTACAAAAACCAAAAAATTTAGAAAATTATTTAGGTCGTTGTATATTATAGGGCTGCCATATCGCTCTAATTTGTAATATGTTTTGGTCAAAAGATCTAAAAACAAAGAACTCAAAACTTCAAAATGCTTTTATCAGTTTTATTCAAAGAATTAGTCTATACTTTGCGCGGTAGAAAAAGGCTGTTTTTAAGAATTTTTTTCAACTTTTCATTATAGATGATATTATAAATCTTGTTGAACTTGATGAATTTGTTTTCAAAATACATACAAAAAATTTTTGTATCTTTAAATACTTGTTAGACGCATAAATGATAATCAAAATTACTCTTCAAATTTTTTCCGGTAATGTACTGAATGTACTCAAAGAAATTTTTACATGATGGTGAGTTTTACTACGTGTAAACTTATTTCAAAGTATTAAGATGTTTACTGATATACTATAATAATGCGGAGATCCACGATAATTGAGAGCAAACTAAAAGAAGTAAAAACTAAAAATGATAAGTTCATTTTTAGACATATTTTAGCTTTGCGAAAGAGAACAGATCTAATGTAATGTAATTTTACTTAAATTAAATAAAATTAAATTGATGTACTCTTATCATGTAATAGGGACCGTGCATATAGACTGTCACGCCCACTGGTGATGAAAATGTACAAAATTCGGGTAAAAATTTTAAACCTTAACATGTGATTTAATGTTGATTTATTTTTATTTCAATAAACTTATAAATTTTTCAAAATTTTCTAACTATAAAGTCTTGTTAAATTACAAAATATATAAATACATCAAATCGGAAACGTCAGATTGAATAACTTGTGAAATTTTATTATTTTTTGCTCAGTACTAGTGGTACTTCATAGAAAAATGATAAGCGTGCTATGTTTACATGGCTATTTGACTTAATAATGCTGAATTTCTTCCAATATATTCAATATACATGGCCCTAAATTTTTTTTTACCCTTCTGAATTGTTTTTACTTTGAATACGACCGATTACTACTGGTTAAAAAGCATATTTTATTAATTTTAAAAAATTTTTTGAATTATTCTATTGCTTGGTTTAATATTTTTGCACCTTGTTTATTCATAAATTCAACAATAGGGTGCGCCAGTTTCGGCAGATGTGTTGCCTCTATATTTGCTGCACAGTCTCTATCATACATTGTAAAAAAAAAATTAGTGTTAATGATGAACTCAATTTGATTCCTCTCGATGTCAAATTCGATTAACACCAGTGTAGCGATGTACTTCTGCAGTATTAAAATATCGGTTTTAACTAATGTCATACTAGTTAAGTTAAGAAGTGAAACAATTAGCTGCTGAACGTATAAGTTGTACTCTACTAGTACAATTACAATTTTTTTTTTAATAAAATTTAATGTCATCAGTTAAAATAAAAACATTTATTATAAACATGTTGTATTTTTTTTTTATAAAATGTATAATTAATTTTGTAAAACATTATGTTAACAATAGTCATCTGCAACGTTTTATAATTAATCATTAATAAACCAACTAAGATTGTGCTGTTTCAATTAGTAAAAATATGAAAAAAAATTCTAAACATGAAAAAATATTACACTTACACTGCTTGAACTTACACAGAGTAATTTTTCACTGTATAAGTTTAATGGTTTTCAGTGTATTCCAATATACTTTACTATACTACGGTATATTCCAATGAACGTAAACATATCCTATAGCGTATTTCGATGTACTAATTGTGGATTTACGAGGCGCTCTAAAGTCACCCACATTTACCCAAGCTTACAACCAATTTACTCTTTAGTTAATAATTTTATGTTTTATCGAACCAGTGAAACGATAAATTTTGTTTTTTTTCTGCAGAAACATGCTTAAAGCGAAATTCTTACATACCGTGTATAGCTTATAAGTTCTTGGAATAAAAACAAAAATCATTGAATAATTCATTGTATAATGAAATTTCAAATTACCAGTGATGATGACTATTGAAATAATACTCAAAAACAACAAGCGATTCATTATAATTTATTACCACAAAACGCCGTGTACTTGTTTCGATAGTGAGAAAACCTCAACTTGCAAACTCTAGCACTTTGCAGATAATGATTAAAACACCTAACAATAACTGCGATATAACGCTGCGTTATCACAAATAAATATTATGTTCTCCTTGAATTAGCAAAAATAACAGGATTAACTATTAATTGCTGATTGCTAGTTATCTCGAGTAAGTCTGATAGTGTAATCAACAAAAAAAGTAGTTTTTCATTTATTTGTTTTGAAAATTATCATTCAAACTCTGTTACTATGACCGATCAACCTTTATAATAAAAAAATTATAATATTGATGTAGATTGATAAATAAATATGATGTTTTTTTGATGAACAAAGTTTCACTGAATAATTGGAATTGTTCGTTAACAAGAAAAGTCAGTGATTATTTTTAATGGGTTCGAGTATTATGGAACAGAAATTTGCAAATGAGAAATGGACAGACAAAATAAGCAAGAGAATCTCAATCGGCAACAAATTTATGCAGGGTAATGAATAAAACAGTATTTTAACAGGAAGAAAAAATATCCAATCGGTAATTTTAGTTATTTATGTACCTTGGGCGAGCCACGCGCCAATACGGTCGAGGTGATAAATATTTTCAGCAGGGATAGTATAAGGCTGAGGCCCGATAGGCCTCAAATTCAGTCGGTCAAAAATTATTTCATTGCTGTGACTGGAGTTTTTCGCAATTTTTTGTCTTTTTTCTGGGTTTTTTGCATTTTACTCAAAATTTTGAGGGCGTATGGGCAAAAGTGACTTCAGATTCAGATTCAGCGCGTTGAAATACATCATAAAGATACGTAGGTCCGGTCAAAAGTACAGAGCACTTTTTTTTTTTTGTGGGCCGGTGTTATCAATGACTCAATAGAAAAGTTTCAATAGCTAAAACTTACTAATTTTCATTTATTTCATGAATTATTTATACCTAAGATTTTTCATTGATTATAATGTGTTCAAAATGAGCCAATGAAATTATACATTCCCGAATCGAAATTTTAATATTCAGATTTATTGACTCTGAATAAAAAAAAATACGTAATTAAATGAGAAATAGAAATCGTATGAAAAGTTGAATATTGGATTAACAAAAGAAGGAATCATTCAATTTTTTTTATCTCAAGTTTATTTATAATGAAATTAATTATTAATCATCATTTTAATCAATACACCATCAATCACTTGCGTAGTTTCTAATAAGAATATTTCGCAGAATCTCTATACCGTCAATGTTTAGCTAAAAATGCATCTGAACTTTGCAAAAATAAAAATATTAAGTGTTGAAAAAAATTTTTCAAATTTATCCAGCTACTGTGATAAAAAATTGTTTATAGAATATTTACAATCCACCTCCGGTTGTTACCACTCTTATATCTGAATTCACTGCAGTGCTTTGGCTCAGCTTGTACTAGCAGGAAGCGATCCTGAGCCTGAATATGTTAACATAAGCCTACTGATAAGTCCTTTGGCACACACGGAACAAGTTATTACACATTACGGTGCTTTATGCATCTAATTTGAACTTTGATGGTATATTCATGGACCAATGAATCAGAGTTACTAAGCTCAGTTACTGTATGCAAGAGTATACTAGAGTTATTGATCTTATAAGACTCGGTATGACAAAAAAGGTGAAAAAGCATTGATCATTTATTATTAAGGGATCTTTCTTTTGAAAATGCCGTGTTTTTTTTTTATTTTTCATATTCACCAATTATTACCAGTTGTTAAAAAATAAAATATAGAAAAAATTCAAGGCTTGAAAAAAAAAAATTATTGAAAATGTTGCATGTTTTAGTCTTCCAAGGTGGTCACCTACCTCAAGTATATAAATCAGTTAAACGAAATTAATTCTTCATTAATATAAATTTGCTTATAATTATCGTCTTAAGACGATATTGTATAGGCTTAAATCAACCAATTCAGAAATTAAAAAAATTTTTTTTCTTATGAATTTCAAAACGAAACAATATATTATAAGACATCACGAGACAAAAATAAACGAAGTGATTGGGAAAAATTTCAAGTTAGAAACACGACTAGCTTATAATCCTCTTTTATCCCGAGCCAGGCAGTAGATATTATATAAATTTCCTGCATCGAATTTAAGTTTTAACGTCCTTGGAATGCTCTAAAAGGATTAGCTCTAGATAAATGGTTTACAGAATCGTTAGTGTACTATGAATCGCGAGTAGCGGTCGGCGACACAATATAATATTAATCGAATGATGTTGACAATTGACTATTTCATCAACTAGAACAGTAAAGAAGATTATTGAAATATTATAAGTGAACGCTATGTATTGATAAAAAAGAAACACTCAATACGTCTCAACATTAAACATGTTTATCTCTGTATGGTTTTCAATTAAATTAACTGATTGTATACCCGAGAAAAAATGTTTCTATATAATCATATATAATTGTATATGATCATATATGATTATATATGGAATCACATATATAATTATATAGAATTATATATAATCATATATAATTACATATAATCATATATAATTACATATAATCATATATAATTACATATAATCATATATAATTACATATAATCATATATAATTACATATAATCATATATAATTACATATAATCATATATAATTACATATAATCATATATAATTACATATAATCATATATAATTACATATAATCATATATAATTACATATAATCATATATAATTACATATAATCATATATAATTACATATAATCATATATAATTACATATAATCATATATAATTACATATAATCATATATAATTACATATAATCATATATAATTACATATAATCATATATAATTACATATAATCATATATAATTACATATAATCATATATAATTACATATAATCATATATAATTACATATAATCATCCCTCCTCAGTTACTATTGGTCAATCTCCTGGTACGTGAACATATCAATATATCGATATAAATCGAACAGGATAAATTCATTCGAGAATTTTGATAGGGGGCGCGCGAATGCGCGCCGTTAAAAATTCTAGTATACTATAAACTTAACTTTAAGATTTAATTTAAAAAGATAATGAAGAAAATTATTAGTTGCCACATTCAGGCTACGTCGAGCAGAAAAATAGTATACACACCTTGGCCAGTAAAAAGTAAAGCCTCAGATCACATGTTTGTCAACCTCGGCTTCGCCTCGGCCAACAATTACATGTGATCTGAGACTTTTCTTATTTTACTGGCCTAGGTATGTAATATACTATTTATATTATATTTATGATAAACTCATATGATACATTAAGTATAGAATCATAGAATCATTATTGTCTAAGATAGCAGCACAGCAGACAGAAACTTTAAGACGCACGGAGATCACCAAAGTTAAGCAGCATTGAGTCGGGTTAATAGTTGGATGGGTGACCGCTGGTGTTATAGCCATAAAATTAGATCTAGATATTTTTTTTTGCATTTTGATCGGTTACACAGAATTGCGTAGGACCATATTAAATACTCTATCCATAAAATTAACCCAATAATTAATTAGATGTAATAAATCTATAATTAAATATTGTTATATATAATTATATATAGTTATATATAATTATACATAATTATATATAATTAGATATGATTATATTTGGCCATTTTTCATATATAATCATATATAATCAATTTATATATAAATATATATAATTATATATAAATATTTTTTCTCGGGTATAATAATGATATTATTGAATCTTACGACTGTTATGTATGAATTACGCAAAACTTTCAGTGAAATTTATTTTCTATGATAGTTAGAATAAGGAATGAAAATCGCTGTATTATGACTTATTAAAAAAAATATTTATATTATTGCTATTTTATTTCATAACTAGAATTTTTTTATAAAAGATAAAAACTCACTTAACAATTTAATAATTGAATTGATAACTCAAACGAACAAACAAAAATAACTTATGAAATAATTAGAGAGAAGTTTAATAGTTTTTTTGTAACGTACTAATTGAAGCTGTTATCAGAAATATATTTTTTCATGGGCGTCAAACTAGTCTTTTATGTAGTATATATTTCATATAGCATATATTTATAGCTCATGCGTATCGCCTAAATATACTTATGAAAATACAGCGTTTATTTTTTTTAATTTGGTATAAACAACAATCGAAATCTAAAAATTGCACGCCTAATAAGCGAAGCGTTGAGGTTGTGCTCTACTCTCGACATTTAAAAAAAAGCAGCTTTCTCGAAACTGAAATTGATTTTTGTTATTTATATCGCACTTACAGGTTAATATGAGTACACTTTTATCAAGTCAAATAATTTGTCAGGCAGATAAAATATATTTCAACTAGTATACGTTGCGCGCGCAAGCGCGCGTGTGAATGTTGGTATGGAAATATGTATATTTTCATGCTAATGATATATTTGACCAATCACGTTACGAATAGTTTGCTCTCTTACATAATATATTTTCATATTTTTCATCTAAATTATAAAAGTGGATAACAATTTTTTTGTTTAACATAGTAAATAATAACATTAAACATAATCTTTTCTGGACGTCCGTGTATATGGATGGGTGTATGTGGCAGGGAAATTGGTCGAAAAAATGATCGTACCGGAATAAATTCTTTTTATTATCTAAAGTTACACACGACGGATTTTCTCAATTAATCTGAGCGTTCAATTCACTGTCGTTAAATTATTATTTATAAAAAACTAATATATGACTGTAGATTTTTTTGTATATCTATCTATACATTTTATTATAGTATTTTTTTTCCTCACCTTAGAGTTATCACGCCACTAAACCATAGCAGAGTTTTCTGTTTTTTATTATTTTGCTTGTTATTTTTTATTTTAATCAATTTTATTGTAAAAAATGAGATTATGAGGCGTGCACTTTTGGATTTTCCAAACTTTTTTCTTCTATTTTGGTCGCTACTGTAAGACTTATTACCCAATAGACGAAATGACCCTATGATTATAAATTTTATAATTATTATTGTTAATAAGTACTAGCAAAAATATAACTAAGAATTGTCAACAATTAATTTTGAAATAGGACTGGGATGCTAAGTAATTTTATATGTAAAAAACTCTTAGACAATCAAAGCTGTACGCTTAGGCGTGTATTTTTATCAATTTATAACTAATTACTATTATTATTACTATTATTATTATCAGTGTAATAATTATTAATACTTCCACGCTACTGCGTTGATTTATAAAGCATTCACGTAAACCAATAAAAATTATTCTTTTTCATTATGATGTAGATTTTTCTATTAATATAAACATTTATGTCATGAGGAAAAGAGAGGTTTACAGAAATTTTTACTATAAATTTAGTAAGATTTTACATTTTTATTTTCATGACAATTTAAATTACATGAGATTGGTGAGAAAACAGTTCTTTAAAAAAGAAATAATAAATCTCATCATAAATAAATACATTTCAATTTTTTTTATAAATAAGTATAAAAACATTGAAAATGAGTTCATGAATATTTAATCCAAATTGATTTGTGAGTTTATTTCTATTCTGTAGAAGTAAATTTGTAACATTTAATAGTAATTACTTGAAAATTACCATTTTTCGCTTGCAAACATTAATGCGACTAAAGTAACAAGCACGATGGACAAAGATCCAGTAAAGGATCCAACACCGTTACATTTATCTTTGTTACAGAAGTACACCTCGGTCGAAATTGTGTTGGTCAAATTAAACTTTTCACCAATTTTATCAACAGCAAAGCAACCTCGTTTGTATTGGACCTTTTTATCAGCTGGAAAAGAAATTTTTGTTTATTAAAGTTCAATCATTAATTCAATCACTAAATTACTTACCGTATTCATTAATTATTTGTTTGAAACAAATTTGATCACTTCCAGTACAGTTCACCTCTTTTTTCAACGATGATCCATCATCGCACTTGTCTCCATAGCATTCGAAACATTTCAGACATTGTCCTACAAAGAAAATATTTCGTAGATTTAATTAATTAATTAATTTATAAACTACCAAAAAAATGAATTAATTTAAATGTAATTTTCTTTACCTGAAACGAACACAGCGGCAATAACACCGAAAAATATGAGATACTTCATGATTTTAAAAGTACTTTAAAGCAATAGACTTTAATTGATAAAAATAAAACGTACTTATTCTCTCACCGATAATTTCGGACTGATGGAGAATTTTAAAAGCTATCCGCACTAAGAATTAGGTAAAATTTTCACCTATTCACCGAGCGTGGGAGTAAATAAGAACAGATAAGATATCTATTGACTTATCTGTCAAAAACGAATAGGTGCGTCATTGTACAAGTATATGTGGGACACATGTTTAAAATTATACAATAACAATTTTTACAGTTATTTCATTTATTGCCGTGAATAATGACTCGATTATTGTCACCAATACATTGAGCATTGAAATAAGTCATTAAATTTTTTTTAAGTAATCTTCGTTCCCACGTCAACACCCGCTATTTGTTGATGAGCCATCAAATAATCATCAATAAAAAAGATTGTATTGAACTTTGAAATTATATATATATATATTTTAATGGGAAATTTTATTTGACTCATTTTAGTTTAATCGATTCCGGCATTTTTGATTTAATTATAGTCTTTTAGATAAAATGAATCACTTTTAATCATTACTGAACGTACTTTTTTTTCGTAGAACCGATAAATATGTATCCAGAATATCTTATAAAATCTTAAACCACTTCAATATTAATATAGATTGGATTCTTAAAAAGAAATTAATTTGATTAAATCTAAATGAAAAATATAGATTTGAATTAATTTTTCTTTAGGCTGGATTAAACGGCTTAACGGGCCGTATCGAGTTCAATGAAGGCAAGAGAAACAATTTCAAATTAGATCTACTCAAGTTAAAGAAGGAAGAATTAGTTAAAGTGGGAGAATGGCGACCGGGATTAGGCATCAATGTTACTGACTTGGAAGCATTCTATGATAAAACTTACGCCAATATCACGCTCGTTGTAATGACACGTGAGGTAAGTAAATTTTAATATCAATGAACAAAACCTTTAAACAGGATTGGAGAAATATTGAGGGATTTCTGTTTCAAAAATATTGAAAATTGCCATTAAGTTATCTCCACTAGCTACAACTAGATGGGATCGTTTCTTATCTCCAAAAGCCTCAAAACTAAGTATCAGGAATTTTTGAACGTGTATTATAAATTAAAGAGTAATCTCTATTCATTAAATGAAATAAGAAATATTTTTTCTAACAACTGTCGTATTGATTATTATTTTATTTTGTAATAATTTTAATTTAATTATACTACGCGTCTCGTTCTTCGATGATTAATGGATTGATTACATGTAGTACTGTCAAGTACGTGTCGACTACACAACTTTTAGAGTTTAAATTTGAAATCTTTTCCCCGCGCCAAGCCTCCACTGCCTGGCGCGCACCCTTGCGGACTCATATTGTTTTGTTGTGTCGACGACAACAGACGTGAGAAAAATTTGTTAAAAAATTTTTTGATTTTTTAATTATTTAAGAAAAATAAAAATCAGCTTAGACATGGGAAAATCTAAAAAGCGTTCTAGATCACGCTCTAGATCTCGTTCCCAAGATCGTCCAAGGTCAAGAAGACGCATGCAGGAACAACTTGACATGCTGGCAAAGAGCGTACACGAGTTAATAAAACAACAGGCATCTCAGAATGCGTTAATTAATTCTAATCAGCATAATAAGGGTGAGTACAGATAATTGGGAGAATTTTATATTCATGGTAGCTTAATGTGTGTGTCTTCCATACGAAGTATCACACGGGTTATTTCCACACGAACATAACCCTGTTTCTGTATGAACATAAATAGATGTACTGAGGCATCTCCTTTCCACACGAAAGATATGCTTGTCATACAAGAATTAAATAATTCTTGATGTTAAATGCCCAATGTATGACATGCTTTCTTGTTATTACAGACATTAGCAGTAATAAGGAAAACACCCCAGCCAACAAGGCTCAAGAGGTTATACCCGCCAAAAAGAATGAGGTACCAGCCACAGAGGCTGACAATGAAGTACAAAAATCACCAGAGGTGATTACTGAGGAAACTCAGAACCAAGTTGAGAAGGTCACTGATTCTATGGAGGAAGGACAGCTTGATGACGAGAATTACGAGCTAGATGATGAACTTCGAGAAGTCTTGGGGGAGGAGATTCCTGTCACAAAGGCTCCAGTTAAGATTAATGATAATCTTAAGAAATGGTGGCAAGATTGGATGTCAAAAGGCTTGACTGAGGAGGCGAGAAAATCTCTGCTCAAAAAACAACCTAAAAATGAAGATTTTAGGTCTGAGGCTCCTAAAGTTAACCTTGAGGTGCAGCGTCACTTGACTGACATAGCCAAGAAGCGCGATGATCACTTCGCTGAGACACAAAGCTGCGTAGGAGCAGCTATTCTGTTACTAAGCTCAGCTGTATCACTATTATCTGATAACTCATCAGAGTCTATAGATCAGATAAGCCTGGTTAAAAGTCTTTGGGATACCGGGAAGATTTTATGTGATGTCTTTCATCAACAGTCAGTAGCCAGGAAGTCTTTCATCACACCGACTTTAGATAAAGATATAAAACCAACACTAGAGGCGAGTGTCCCTGATGAATGGCTTTACGGTGAGAAGCTTAATGAGAAAGTTAAAGATGCGAAGGCAATAGTGAAAGCTGCTTCAACATTGAAGACCGCAGAAAAACCAGCAGCTAAAAAACAAGCTCCTAGGAACCTCTCTCAGGGAAACTTCAGAGGCCCACCTGCGAGATTCAGGCAGGTGGGCACTTACCAGAGGAGATTTGTTACGAACCCAAAATACAGGCAGAGACACACTGCGACAGCGGGAACGTCGAAAACAGCTCAGAAGACGATCACGGAGAAGAGCGCGAAGTAATTTTGGTTTCTGAAAAGGAACCGCAGGAGGTAAATATGTTAGCAGGAAGACTTAGTTTGTTCACTGAGCATTGGGAAGGTATTTCCGATGATAAATTCATCATTGACTGGATCAGAGGCTACGATATTCCCTTTAAGACACGTCCTACTCAACTTATTGAGCCTAGAGAACCTTCATGGTCTCCTAGTGATGATCTAAGAGTCCAAAGGGCGATCGATAAGCTTTTACGGAAAAAAGCTATTGAAGTCTGTACAGATTCCGATGATCAATTCGTTTCCACGTACTTTTTAGTCCCAAAACCGGATGGTTCGGATCGTTTTATTATTAACTTAAAGAAATTGAATGATTATATAGAAACAGAGCACTTCAAAATGGAAGATCTAAGATCAGCGAGACATCTTATTGATAGGGGAGCATTTATGGGTAATTTAGATTTAGAGGACGCGTACTTGTTAGTTCGGGTGAATTACGTTAGTAGGAAATATCTTAGATTCAGGTTCAGAGGTCAACTTTATCAGTTCACGTGTCTACCGTTCGGTCTGTGCTCCAGTCCTTATACTTTTACTAAGATAATGAAACCGGTAGTCAACATGCTTAGATCAAAGGGTCTTTTGTCTGTCGTTTATCTAGATGATTTTCTATGCATAGGTAACAGTTATAAAAGTTGTAAGAGCAATGTACAGACAACAATTAAATTACTAGAGAGTCTAGGATTTATTATAAGTTATAATAAAAGTTCGACGACTCCTAGCAAAAGATGTAAATATCTAGGCTTCGTATTAGACTCCAAAAAATATCAGGTAGAGATTACTAATGAAAAAGAACTCAAGTTAAGAAAATGCTTGATTCTGTTGAGTTAGGTAGTCGTTATAGAATAAGGTTTATAGCACAATTGATTGGAGTCCTGATAGCATGTATTCCGGGAGTAGAATATGGAAGGGCATATAGTAAAAGGTTAGAGAGAGCGAAGTGGCTAGCTTTGTTGATAAACAATAAAAATTTTGAAGGCTTTATGTTACTGAAGGAGGATGTTTTTGAAGATATTAGGTGGTGGAAAGACAATATTATGTTGGCCAGCAGTAGAATAAAGTCCCACAATTATAAGTTGGTGGTAACTTCGGATGCCTCCAGAACAGGATGGGGTGCGGAGTCTAGTGGTGTAGTTACACAAGGTTTCTGGAGTACACAGGACCAGAAATTTCATATTAACTATCTAGAGCTATTAGCGGCTTTTTTTGCGCTAAAATGCTTTGCATCAAAGCTTTATGACTGCGAAATTCTTCTACGTATAGACAATACGACAGCTATTGCCTATATTAATAAAGCTGGTGGAATTAGGTACCCAATACTCTCAGAGCTGGCAAGGAAGATTTGGCAATGGTGTGAAGTTAGAAAGATTTGGCCGGTTGCAACGTATATTCCTTCAGCGTTGAACGTGGATGCAGACGCTGCTTCTAGAGTAAGAAACTTAGATACTGAGTGGGAACTATCTCCTGTAGCTTTTCAAAAAATTCTAAAAGTTTTGGGATCACCGTCTATTGACCTTTTTGCCTCACGCATTAATAAAAAATGTGTAAGATTCTGCTCTCGCTATCCGGATCCAGATGCAGAGTCAGTTGATGCGTTTACGGTGTCTTGGAGTAAGGAATATTTTTATGCCTTCCCTCCGTTTGCCTTGGTCCTACCATCTTTGAGAAAAATAATCAATGATGAAGCAGTGGGTATTGTGGTAGCTCCACTGTGGAAAGCTCAACCATGGTATCCATTATTTACTTCCCTGCTCAGTGAACCTCCATTGATATTTAAACCGTCCTTATCACTACTTTTATCTCCTTCTAGACAAGAACTTCATACACTGGCAACGAAGCTCTCACTTGTGGTCGGGAAATTATCAGGCAGGCCTTCGTCATCAAAGGCATCAAGGAAGAATCAATAAATATAATGCTGAGTTCGTTGACGGAGTCAACGGTCAAACAATACGAAGGGCCTTTAAAAAGATGGCTCGTATTTGCTCAAGAAAATAAAATTGATGCCTTTGAACCAGCAAGCACTGAAGTCATTAGTTTCCTGACATCGCGATTTAACGAAGGTGCAAAATACGGAACCCTGAACTTATCAAGAGCTGCCATCTCTCTTATATCGAAGAACAGTCTCTCAAATGATCCTCTATTATCGAGATTCATTCGAGGAACTTACAAGATAAGGCCAGCGCGTCCCAAATACTCAGAAACCTGGGACACGGACATAGTACTTACGTATATTGAAAAGATGACAGATCTGGATAAGTTGAAACTAAAAGAATTAACAGAGATTACAGCAACACTGTTAATCCTCATTACAGCCCATAGATTGCAAACCTTAGCCTTAATTAAAACAGAAAATATAATAGAATCAACTGTTGGGTTGAAGATAAAAATACCTGATCTGATTAAAACGTCTAGACCAGGAGAAAAGCAGCCAATACTTTCAATTCCTTTCTTCAAGGATAGGAGAAACATTTGCGTAGCATCCATCATCCTGTACTACCTAAAACGCACAGAGAAGTTGAGGTCCAAATCAGATAGGCTGTTTATAGCGACGATCAAGCCTCATAAGCCAGCTAGTGCCCAAACCATTGGACATTGGATTAAAGACTTAATAAAGAAAGCAGGCGTGGACACTAATATCTTTACTGCATATAGTGCTAAACATGCGGCTGTATCTAAAGCCTACAGTAAGGGTGTAGATGTTGATACCATTCGAAGAACTGCAGGTTGGTCCAGTGGCTCCAAAGTATTCGCTAATTTTTATAACAGACCAATTGTAGAATCCAATGAGACTTTTGCACGTTCCTTAGCAAGTAAGAAGTAATACAGTATGTACACTTGATAAATAAATGTTATCACTGACTCTAAACCTCTACATGTAATCAATCCATTAATCATCGAAGAACGAGACGCGTAGTATAATTGTACGATCAAGCGAGCCCGCCGAAGGCGGGCGAAGCTCGATCGAGATTATACGTAGCGTCTCGTTCGAAGATGATTACTACCCTCCCAATATTCTACCCAAACAATTTTTAACTGTAACCCAGTAATCATCTTGGTACTAGTGATAACATAAGAATAAAGAGAACTTAACACTCTAAAATTATGAGTCCGCAAGGGTGCGCGCCAGGCAGTGGAGGCTTGGCGCGGGGAAAAGATTTCAAATTTAAACTCTAAAAGTTGTGTAGTCGACACGTACTTGACAGTACTTCATGTAATCAATCCATTAATCATCTTCGAACGAGACGCTACGTATAATCTCGATCGAGCTTCGCCCGCCTTCGGCGGGCTCGCTTGATCGTACAACATTGACTACTACAATTGTTTTGACTCAACTGGAGCGAAAGGATTTCCTTAAGCGCTCATTAAAATGAAATTTAAAAACATCTAGAAAGCAATTGACCCTGCATAGTCAATTTTTGCAACTTCTTTTTATTCACAATCAATCGAGCTATTCTAGCTTGTAAATTAAGTTTGTTTCTATTTCAAAGTCAAACATTAATTGGGAAATATTATTTAAGGGGATTCCTTCAATGGGTTCAAAAAATAATTTTATTTTACATAAATTGATTCCTTAACATGTGCAGAATATCCTGTTCCAGTTATTTTTTTAAATTCGAAGTTGTTATAAAGATGCAGCAGTTAGAAGAACCAGATGTTCGGATGTTGTACTCATACTTGAAACTTTGAACATGTTTTAATCAAAACTGTGTTTTTCAAATTTTCCTCAATCATATCTAGAGAACAGTTGGCTTGATTCTCTTGAAATTTATGGGGTAGACTCAGCACATGTAGACGCATGATAACTGTTTTAAAATCATAGAAAAATTCCACATATATCTATTTTTTTCTGTAACTAAAAAATAAACAATAAGTCATGGAATCTGGAGTATTTTTTTCAAGAGTCAGCAAAAAACCCAATTTTCAATATTTTAAAATAATCCTGTCGCCCGATGCATTTAGGCTTAAAACGCCGTTTTTTTTTTTTTTTTTTTTTTTTTTTTTTTCGATAAGCCAATCCACCGAAATCGTTAAGGCAGTGAGCATCTTTTTTCCGAGGCAAATAAAGATTTTTACTTTAAACTCATTTTACATACTCTTTAAGCAGTTACTAGGAATTCAAATTGCGCGCGCTCTAATCCTGGACCAATAAGGAACCAGAGGCCACTTTTTCGATTAGTATCAAAATTATGTCGATACTAAGCTAACTTAACTTTAGTCATAAATTTTATGTTATAGGATAATTTGTAAAAAAAAAGTTGCTACAAAATACTTAATAAAAAGGTCGTCACGCGGGGGAATCCCTTCAATACTAATATTTGAACTGAAATATGGGTTGAATGAATCAATCAATTTTAATGAGATTTTCGGTTTCAGCGCAGTTTTTAAAATTCTACAAAGAAAAAAAAATTTACTTTAATCAAGTTAATAATTTTGAAGAGTTTCATCTTCTTGATTTGAATAAAAAATTCTTAAACTAAGAAATTTTTCTTTTTTTAACTAAATTTTACTTGATTCAAGAATTGTTCATCTTAATTAAGATAATGAAAGCAGTCTTTAAATTTGTTTTCTTGGTTTAAGAATTTTTTCTGTATTTAAGTCAATTTTTTTTTTTTTCTTCAGTATATAGTTATTTTGTGAAAAACACTTATCGTGAAATTTGTGCATCGCGATATCTCTCGAACAAATTTATCGATTTTGATAAGATGTGGAACATTCGACATAGTTTTTCTAACACAAGGGATAATTAGATTTGAGTATCGATCTGTACAACGGTTTAAAAGTTTTTTAAAAAAAAAAGGATAAAACATTTTTTTTTAATTTTTATTTTTAAGATTTATTGAATTGTAGTGAGTCGAATCTGTTTCAATCTCGAATAAAAAGTCCGTATAATTTACAAAGGCTTCAAGACACTGAGATTTTATGAAAAATCGATTTTCAAAGAAGGTGGAACCAATAACTTCCCAATCTTTAAAAATAATTAATTTTATAGCGAGAAATTAAAAAAGTTCACTTCAACTTTAATTTGATTCTCTAGTGATATGAAGTTTTCAAGCTCAAATCAATTGTTTTTTGTTTTTTTAATTAATATAAATTTACCGTGAAGTATACGTACTATAATTAACGCTTATTTAATCACGCAAAAAAAAAAAAGTAATAAGAGTACTGCGTAAATTTTTTCATCAACAAAGTTTAGTAAATTTCTCCAGGCGAGTTAATCAAATTAAAAATATCTTACGTAACAAACTTTATACATAATGAAGCTCGTTGCTGACTAAAGTGTTTACATTATTTAATAATTAAAATTGAATAATAATTTTTGGGGTTTTTAATAACCTTTTAATTTTATTCTAGAGAGCCGATCTTGCTGTGGCTTCTATGACTATTAATTATGCTAGAGAAAGTGTTATTGACTTTACGAAGCCGTTCATGAATCTTGGAATTGGAATACTTTTTAAGGTGAGTTACTAAATCATTGCTAAATAGAAATTGTTGAATTCACTTTTTATAAGTTATAATATTTATTGTTTTAGCTATATATTTTATTTTATCTCTGGGCAGATATTGAAGATTTAATTGCTAAAATGTTTTTTGCAATTAATAATTAAGCTAAAAAAGTTTGGTAAATCCAAATATGCATGCCTTAAGCGCTCATGCTTTTTGTAAATATTCCAAAAAAATTTGCCAATTAAAAGATCATAATAATAGTTTTTTTTTAACCGAATATTTTAATTAATCTATTAGAAAATATTTTTAATGTGTTGATCAATTATTTTTCTTCGTATTACGATGCTATATGATTTTTGTGAATATTATTGAATATAGACGAGATTTAACTTGATGAATTCATGGATTTAGTTTTTTAGGTGCTCGCAGAGCATAGCCTCCGCACGTTTGCGCTTAAGGCATGCAATAAACAATGATCTTGATCGCAGGTGGGTTCAATTTAATGATAGTACAATAAAATTTTTATTCAAAAATGTGTCAATCATTTTTGGTCTTGACCGATTGAAATCGATCATTAATTTTACCGATATTATTATCTATAATTTTAGATGGTTTTAATTGAATCTTCAGTTAAAAAGCCTACAGATAATTAAAAAGAAATTATTTTTCATAAATAATATTACTCAATATTCCTATAATTAATAAAGGCTTCCTTATATTAGTATCGATTCCGAGATCTAAGATACCGTAATCCACTTTCAGAAAATTTTACAGGAAACTGTAATAATGGTTCATTTTTTAACATTGGGTAAATGAAATTCGACGGATAAAAATAGTTATTAAACAATTTAACCTCAAAATTTTTAATCTGCTGCTTCATACAGTTATGAATAAATTCTTCAAAAAAAGTGAAGTTGTCAAATTTTGTAGATTACGATATCTTAGAACATGGATATCGATATGTATATTTTTTCAGAAAAGTCAAGACGTAGTGATTAAAAAATGTTTCCAAAATGTCTTCATTATGAAAACCAAATTTCGAATTATGTATTTGTCATGATCATGACTTTAACAAATGTACATCCTCTATTTGATTTTGTTGCGGTATTATCAGAGATAATCTGCTTACATACATTTATATACTGATAAATAAATAATCAATCATACAATATTTGCAATTTATCAACATACATATACGACTCATCAAACATTTGCAATTACTAAATTTAATTACATCTAATCTTTCAATAATCGAATAAGCTATTGTTTATACAGAAGGTAAAAGCATCAATTATTGACAGTTCCGACTATTGCGACTTTACATTATTCCTAAATTTATTTTTTCAACTGCGATCTTTATAAAAATTTAATATATTTCTATAGAATCTTTGACTTTTTGTGAATATTTCTTTTTTACTATATATATACTTTTAATAGATGGATTTAAAAAACGTTTTTTTTTTTCATCATAATTCTAAAGCGATATATTCTATAACATTTTAAATCATGTTACGGAAAAACGTGTCAATAATTGGTACTCTAACATTAGACAGTAAAAAATTTTTCGCCAAATTCAACACAAAAATTTTTGATGATGACTTCTTTTTATACAAGCATCGTGTTAATTCAACACAATCTATGTGTAACATTTAAATAACACAACTCTGTGTTAAAATAACATCTAAATACTGTTGATTAAGTATCGAATGACATTTTAGTGTGTTGAAAAATAGATCTATCCAATAACACAAACGGCTGGATTAAATCAACATTCTTAAATGTTTAATATTCTAGCTAACCATATTTACACTTTACACAGTGACGAAAAATATTTAACTGTGATAGTTACTAAAAGTATGATACTTTTTTAATAAGTTATTCAATTTTTTACTGCCCAACAACTCTCATATCTGTTTACTCAACCATTATTAAAGTAACAAATATTTACAAAACCACCTTTACTTGCTCTCGACACCATAACGTAACTTTAAGTTTCCTTATTTATAATTCGCTAGCATACACAGTAATAACATTAAATGTCTTAGTAGCATATAGACAGTAATTTTTCAAACAGTTGACTTTATAAAATTACCACTTATGCTAATCACTAAAAATAAACAAAGAAAAATAACAAATAAACTAATATAAGTTATTGTTTGTGGTTAAATTAATTATTTGCTAACAAGTATAAGTAACAGTTGATTAAAAAATTACTATAAATTAAATAGCCGCAGTTATGAAAAATAAAAAAAAAATGAGTAAATCCTTTATTGAATCGCCGATGAGGTCGTTTTAATTAAAATTGTAGCCTAAAATAATTTAGGTACCATCCAGCCAGCCTACTCGACTGTTTTCCTTCATGAATCCGCTGGCTGTTGAAATATGGCTCTACGTTCTGGCAGCGTATATGCTCGTCAGCTTTACACTCTTCGTAATGGCCCGCTTCAGCCCTTATGAATGGAACAATCCCCATCCTTGTTTAGCCGAGAGTGACGTCATCGAGAACCAGTTCAATGTCAGCAACAGTTTCTGGTTTATCACCGGGACCTTTTTGCGACAAGGAAGCGGCCTTAATCCCAAGGTATATCACGTCCTCGAGCCATCGTCCATAACTCCGACTCTCTTTGATCCTTCCATTAAAATTTAATATCCTGTTTTATTTATCATACTTTTTTAGGGTCGTGTTTATAGACTATACCGATGGAAAAGCGCTCTCCTGAAAGTAGCTTTACATTATTCTATCAGATCAAAATATAAATACAATGTAATAAATGAAAATACCATAAAAATATATAATTATAATCTGTGATCATTACCGTGTACATGATTCAGGCCACCAAACGCGCGCCTTCTCGACTCTTCTCATTTATGAACCCTCTCGCTGTAGAGGTCTGGCTATCGATGCTGGGTGCATATGTTGTAGTTTCCATGTCAATTTGGATTGTGGCGCGTCTTTCACCTTATGAATGGGTAGAACCGCCGCCATGTCCGAGCTGCAAGTGCCCTCTGCAGGTAGGCTCCCGTCAATCGGTGCTACATTCTTCTGATTCGTGATCGATTGTTTTTTTTATTTGTCTTTATTTTAAATCCATTTGCATTGATTGTTGACTTTAAATACAAAAAAGCAAGTTCGTATAGCTTTAGTTGGTTTATTGGGAAACAGAATTATTATTTTTCGGATTCAACATTGTTCGTTTGGAAAAATTCCGTTTACACATACACGCATGCACATATATACACACTCACATACAACAAACAATTTCGCTCTTCTAAATTTCTAGTGAAAGCTTCCAGTACGGCAACTTCCATTTCCATAAATTTCCATAAGAGTATAATGAATGGGGTGTACTAGCATGTCACACAACACAATGTATGTAACAGAGTCATGAGAATAACACACCAAGAGTTGTATTACGCAAATCTGATTTTGTCATATTAATGTGCTAGTCAGACTTTTATTTATTTTTTAAACTTTTATTTCTTCATTTAATACGCTGAAAAATTAGACTTGTGTTATTTAGTTTAAATAGTTAGCTTCACTTATTTTGTACACGGAGAGATAAATATTGTCAGAATGACTATAGCCTAGGATATTTCCAACGTATCTTCAAATGACATTTTGTCAGAATAACAATTTAGTAATTCGATTTGAGGATTGATTTGTTTAGCTCAAAAATATAACGAATAGCTCTCGTGAGCATACGTAGTTTTCTTAGTAGATACAACTGTTTTGTCAACGCGAGGATCTGTATAGAATAGCCAAGTTGGCTATACATTGGATCACTAAGAAAAATCAGTATACAGCGTATTGCCATAATAGTGTACCTGTATACTCATTCTGAGAATATTTTTCTCTCCGTGTACCGTCGAAAGTTTTACAGATACGTGGAAACAAATTTTCTTTAAAAATTACTGTTAAATTCACTGTAATACATAGATTCCAGAAGAATTTCGAATGAAATCATAGAAAATGATCATCGATAAAAAATGAATAAAGTAGAAATATGGATTCGTGAAATCATGATATTTTGATTAATTAATTACAGACTTTTCAAGGTTTCTTAGTAAAATCCGTTGGAATCTCGGAGAAAATTCCGCCAGTCTAGCTTTTATTCTTAATTCCGCAAGGATTCGATAAAAATTCCGCAAAGTTTCCGCCGAGATTTCTCCAGAATTTTTCGAGAAATCTTGAGAAGTCTATAATGAATTAATCAACATGTCATGATTTCGCGAATCCATATTACTACTTTATTAATATTCTAACGATGATCATTTTCTATGATTCCATCCTAAATATTTCTGGAATTCATATTTGTGTCAAAATATGAATTTCTCAGGATTTCCTTGCGGAATAACCGAAAGAATCCCGTAATTTTTTTACACAAGACAGTGTAAAATTTTCTGATGTAGTTATATGGCCTATGGCCTCATATGGCTATATAAGACCTGATCTTGTCTTGTCATATATAGTCAGTACATGTCTATTTATTATAATCTTTACTCTTATTCTCACATTGATCTACCAATAAAATTAAAAAAAAAAAAAATAAGAAAATTCATCATATAAACTTAATGTCCATCTATTGGATAGAGGTCAGAAAAGTGTCACGAATAGATAGGCTCTAAATTTTATTATTTTTTTTCGATTTTATCATTCAAATATTATATTTCTAGCTCTGTTAGTGAAATATAAGCGTAATCTAAATAATTTTTTTAAACTATTATTTTAAATAAAAAGTTAAAAAAAATTACTTTTCGCTCTTAGAACTACATGTAGACATAAAAAAAAATAACGACTTAAAATTTTTGTTCTTAAAACTAATGTAGAGTCATTTGGGGTAAATGTGCGCAATGGGTAAGCGTGCGCAAACCCATTCATTTGAGTCCCAAATACATGGGATTGCGCACTCTTACCCACTGCGCACATTATTTACCCCAAATGACTCTAATTGCTTCTGGAAATAATATTTGTCCATCTATTGGGGTATTTACCCTAATTATGTTAATTACCGACACGTATTTTTTTCAACTGAAAATAGTAGAGTTATATTCTCGACAACAACTACCGCACAACTACCGCATGTTTTTCTATAATTGTCAATTATCAATGCAAATGAGAAGTTATGACGATAATAATGATAAAAACAGAGGTAATTATTATAATTATCTATTTTGCACCATTTGGCGGGGGTCACGATGATCAGGGCAGTCATGTCAGCGCCTTAGAGCCAGATAGCGATGACATCCCCTTACCGAAAACGGTCAACGACTTCAGTCTCTCCAACAGCTTTTGGTTCACAGTCGGCTCTCTTATGCAACAAGGAAGTGATCTCAACCCTAAGGTAATCATATCGCAGAGCCGGTGATACATTTTTTTCAATTAACCAAAAATATGTTGCAAAAAAATGATAATTGTAAACATTATCAATAACCAATATCCAGCACCATATGAGTACACTTTTAATAATATAAAATTTTAATTTGTTTCTCAGTTAAATCAAAAACATCTATGAATTATTCATAACTATTAAATATAAACACAAGCCATATTATTATATTAATAATGCATGTCATCCCTGCATGAAAAGCCAAGCACCTTATGTTTAATATTGTTTTTAATTATATTCATAAACTCAATTAATGAATTAATTTATAGTCTATAATTACTTCTAGTGTTTTTTTTTTTTTCGTTATAATTACGTTGACTAAATTATTATACCTAAAGGAATTAAATAGCCGAAATGAAAATATGAAAGGTGTAATGAGCTTTTATGAATCATTAAAAAAATTTTTTTAGAGGTTTCTTCTACGAAGCTCTTTACGTAGCCTAGATCGAATTAAGAAGATATTTTTTATTCAAAATTATAGCATTGAACGAATAAATTTTCCTATTTAATTTTGACCGTCAACGATCCCTCTTATCCTTCCACTTTTATTCTCTAACTCACTTTCCTTACATAAATATGAACATATATGCGGCTTATTATAATTAACATCAAATTTTATTATTCCAAGTAAATAAAGTACCAAAATGCGCTTTAAATTTAAAATTTATACGACGTCATATTTACCTTTTATATTATTTGACAGTCATAGAATAATATTTGTGTCAATTAAGAAAATTAATGTTTAATTTTCTTTACTTACATTCAATCTAAATACGTAAATTAATAATAATCTGTTTTGACAGTTGTAATGTCGCGAAAAAAAAATGATGTTTTGTATTGGAATTTTCTCATAATTTATTTTACGTAAATTCTTTATAGTTGCATTCTATTGTGTGACTTTTTTCAAGTATTATTCAGAATAAGAAAAACTGTATGTATATGTTTTATTTTTTTTTTCTTCTGGCAAAAATAAAAAATGTGAAGAGATGAATGAGTTCACAAGCCTTAAAAAGAATTTCATACTCGAATTTTTATCATTTTTCCCGTTTATTATTTGTACAAATTCCCTCGATATTAAATCAACAAAACACAGAGATACATATTCTAAAATTTTAAAAACTACCAAAGGGATAATTTCATTGTTGTTATCACAGCACCTGTATTTTTTTTTTTTTTTTTTTAATACAAAGCATCCATTGAAATATCTTTTTACGCTATTAGCAAGACATTTATTCCCTAATGAATAAAAAAGGTGACAAAAAAAGTTATTCTAAAGAAAATAGCTGAGTAAGACAAAAAAAATGTGAAGCCGAGCGAATGGAAAGCAATCAAGAAGCAGAATAAATGAGGTCGAAAATGAATCGCAAGCGCGAGTGAATTCAAATAATTTCATTAGCTTCGGCTACCGTACCATGAAATTGTACCCTCAAGGCACTTATAATATCGACAATCTACTTAAAAAACTAAAAAATTTTAATTTAACAAGTACGTCTTCTTTAGTTCTCTAAAACTACATAATAAATGCATTGTACAACATATGGTGCTAACCGGCTCTGTGTATATGTGGGGATGTCATTGCTTATTTTTCCGTGGTCATACTGGAAAATACAATCAAATAAAGTAAACTAACTGTGTAATTTATGCATTAATATCAATCACGTTTTGCATTGCATAAATCATGAATATTTTCATATTTCAAATAGCTTAAAATTAGTTCACCTTGGGAAAATAAACTAATTTTCTTTCAACAAAGAGTAATAATCCAAACGGCTTCATACAAATACATTTAATTTAATTTTATGAACGTTAAATTTAGTAGCCATAGTTTGACAGAAAAATGTCATTGAATTTATTACGTCTTTTGTACTTTAGGTCATATTCGTTGGTCAGTGATTGAACTAATTTATTATAAGTTACTAAATTTTTCACTTTTAATCATGAGAAATGAATACGAAATAATACACTATCCATTTTTTTTAATTAAAATTATTAACAAGAAAAAAATAGGAAAATTGAAAAACGTATACCTCAAAAGTTGATGCTCAAGTAAAAAGTGGAAAGAAAAAAAAACATAACTTTCATTCTCACAAAGCTATCAAAACGGTAATTTAAAAAAATGTTTGATGCTTCATTCAAATTTTTTTATACATTTCTTACGCTGAGGAGATTGATAGCTGAGTTAACCAGAATATCACTTTTTTTTGTACAACTGAGCCTGAGTTTACTAAAGAACTAGTTATTCTGCCAAGCACAGTCGGCGATAAATAATTCACCATTTTTAGAGTTGAATTCACTGGTTTTGCCCGTCATATATTTACCATAAAAAAATGACAAAGATTTAAGAGGAGATGTTTGTTATTTTTTTGCTCAGTATTTAGTACCGCTCATCACTGTAGAAGTATTCAGTCAATATCGAATAATTTTATTCATAATTACTTTTCATTTTAATTCAACAAATTAAAAGTCATCAACTAAATCAATAATTGTGATGAATCATGAATGATGAATAATATCTATCATCATTACATCCATTTCCCATATTAAAAACTATAAACCATGTATGCTTTACTGACCCTCATTTAATTTAACGCATGGTTAAACTCTCACGTATTGTACATTTTTCAATTTTCTGTCAATCAATTCAATTTTATTCCTCTAAATTAAATTTTCAGTCCATAAATATAAAACACGTTATCCATTTTATTGGATTATTCATTTACATTCAATGAGTTTATTAAATAAAAGAATCTTTTTTTTAATTCGAGAGCTTGTACAAAGAGTTTTTACAGAACAATAGAAAAATTTATGAAATATTTTATTAATCCAATATTTACAATAGCTTAAAAAAAATTTTATGAATTTCTTGTGAAAAAAAAATTTTTTTTCTTAAAGACTAACTTCTTTGTAACAATTTAATAATCAAATTTTCGTTTCTCATGCGTTGAATTATGATGAGGTACCTAATAGAATTTCTAATGGAAAATTAAATTGTTAATATCTATTTGATAGGCAACTAGCACGAGAATAGTAGGAGGAATCTGGTGGTTCTTTACCCTCATTATTATATCATCATACACGGCGAATCTTGCTGCATTTTTAACGGTCGAGAGAATGATAACTCCCATTGAAAATGCAGCCGATCTTGCTGAACAAACCGAAATATCCTACGGAACACTCGAAGGTGGAAGCACGATGACATTTTTTCGGGTAATAATTAATAACTGTATAAAAGGTAATATTTAAACAAATTAAAAAAAATTTTCATTCTGGCTTAAATATAAATTTCTTGGTTTGACCTCAGGTTAAATGTAAAAAATTATGAAATTTGTTGGAATATTACTTTGTGTTCTCAAAAGCATTATATTTTTCTGATAATTCTGTACCGTATTTTGACTTTTATTCAAAGGATTCCAAAATAGGGATTTACCAGAAAATGTGGCGATTTATGGAAGCAAAAAGGTCTTCATTATTCGTGTCTTCGTATGAAGAAGGAATAAAAAGAGTGTTGGAGGGAAACTATGCATTTCTTATGGAATCGACGATGCTCGACTATGCTGTTCAGCGAGACTGCAACCTTACACAAATTGGTGGTCTACTAGATAGCAAAGGATACGGAATAGCTACTCCAAAAGGTCACAGATAAATCTCCATTTGTCTTTTAATTAGTATTTTTAAGTGAAAATTTTATTCAAGTAATTTATCTTAATTGCACAAAGTAGTAATTATTTTCTTTTTTTCAACCGTATTTTTATTTTGTTGTTTAGGCTCTCCGTGGCGGGACAAAATATCCCTCGCTATTCTCGAGTTACAGGAGAAAGGCGTGATACAAATTCTCTACGACAAGTGGTGGAAAAACACCGGAGACGTATGTAACAGGGATGAAAAGAGCAAGGAAAATAAAGCAAATGCACTTGGAGTCGAGAACATTGGTAAGTTTCTGTCTAAATCATGTTTCGCTATTTTACTTACGACGTTGACTAAGACTTTAAACCTTTTACTGTGGTGTCAAATTTCTTCTAGACTTTTTCATTTACTTATTTTATTAAAAGCTACTAGTGTGTTGCATTCAATTTTTGCAGAAAAATAATTATGTGTATCAGAGAATTGACAAATTAGAATAAGAATTAATTGTCTGTGAAAAATTATTTTGACATGATCATATATATTTATTATATAATTTTGAGATTTTTCGAACAAAAATTGATTCAGTAATTGATTAAATAAAAAAGTTTGGAAAATCCAAATGAGCATGCCTTAAGCGCTCATGTCATACATAAAATATTTAGATCATAACAAAAATTATTCGTTTTTAATTTGAATTTTCCCGCGAGTAGTATTATGCCTTCTGTAGGTCGAACTAAAGAAAAATTTTAACAGATGATAAAACAGTTAGTAATTATACCATCATGTATGTATAGTTTCTGCTTGTTTATAGTTATTTCAATTCTGTTTATGAAAAATAATACATATGGCTGCCGAAATCACAGAAAAAGTCACCGAACTGACAATCGAAAAAAATTAACTGTATCGAAACGGAATTATTTTGACACGCAATTTTCACAAGGGTTTTGATAAACTTCCTCAGGAATAAAACAAAAAAAAAATTAAATCGTGAAAGTGATTTTTGACAAAGTTGTGGTGTTGTCAAGCCCATAGCTCCCGTGAATACCACGCTCTTATTCATTTAATTCATCAGAAAAACGAGTTTTTTCTGAGAAATCTTATTTAATCGATAAGAAAATTTTTTTAATGTGTTCTATAGTTACTATTATTTATTTCAATATGCTTTTTATCCATAATTTTTTTCGTTTAAATTATGAAAATCACGTTTTAATCGAAATCACGATTTTTAGGCGAGAGTAGAGCATACCTGCGCGCTGCGCGCTTAAGGCATGCAAAAAAAAAATAAGAATAAAAAAGAATGATTTTTATTCTAGAACTCAAAACCTCGAATTTAATTCTCTTATAAAAAGACAATTCAACGATTATGTGCCCTCCGTTGAAAACCTTTAACTCTACTTGTGGTCGAAAAATTATAGATGACCTGATATGGCCAATTTCCATAGCAAGTCATGTCAGAAAATTGTTTCACAGATGTTATGAATTACACCATCATTAACTAAATAAATATTTCTAATCAGTAGAAGCTTATTTATTTTTTTTTAATCAAGAAAGGTGAAAGCTTGCAGTAAAGTTAATACATATTTCTTAAGTCAACTAAGTCTTTTGATGTACCGTAAAGTGAGATGAATAAATCAGCCGTTTAGCTGATGAAAACTGAGACGGGTTAAAAAAATATCTTAAAAGTAATGAAATGACATCCAAGAAAAACAAGAAATCTCTATCAAGGCAGTGGAATATTTGAAGTTGATGCAGTAACGAATCTCTTATTTGCAATGGAAGTCGGAGTTTCTCAGAACATCCTCCGAATTTCATGAAAGTCACAACAAGTTTTTGCAATCGCCTAAATCTCAGACAGTTTGTTCATGTTTTTCTAACTTTACTTTTGCACTTCCACTTTCTTACAAGATTTTTTATTTAACTAGTTCAGTAAGTACTCACTTTACTGGTCTGGTGAGAATGTTAAAATTGTCCAAGTTCATCACCTTAATCATGCTTCTTCGCTACTTCGATTCTTTCCGGGCTCCTTCCAATCATCATTTATCTATAAGTATACTGATGATAAAGAAATGCGGGTTAAAAAGACTAACCGCCTCACCATCGCATTTCAAAGATGCAATTTTATCTTTATCGTTACTTTTTTCTATTGCTTTTACTGATTATGTCGTTCAGTTGAATAATAATGCAAAAAATAGTGCATCAATGAATCGATGGTAGATGGTAGAGCAAAGAAACTGTCTCTATAATTTTATCCACAGATTCGGTAGAATCTGGCGCCAAGGTCCGTTCAAAAATCCCGTTGTAAACGGAGCGCCAGACTACCGACTGTGTTTACTGTAAGCAGAACGGTTTTTTGAGGTTGCGAATTTAAATTAATTCTACAGACCTTTTTTTCCTTCAATAATACTCTATAATAATACTTTATGTGTTATATTATCAATATTAATTAATAATGCTTATTAAAAATAATGAATTCTATTTAAAATTAATTAAATTCACTAGCACAAACAATTAGCGACCCAGATTTTTAGATTCTGACTTTTTCTTATGGAGAAAGTGACATGCCACAGACTAAATAATTCGAGAATGCATGGTTATCCTTCTATAAATGGGAAACTACAGTTAAAAAGAGATATTTCACAGCTTGCGCCTAGACCCGCCAGGGTGCGCTGGAATTATTTCTACATAAACTGTAGCTTCAAGGGGATAGTTTGCGCCGCAGACTAGATATCTGGG